AGAGGAAAAGTCTGAAATCCGAGTTCTCATTTCGGTTCTGGCACTTTTCTGGTTGTTCTTCAGCCTTAGGCAAGTCTTTTAAATTCCTTGAACCTTATTTTTTTTAGTTGTAGAAAAGGAATTAGCTCACCTTCTCTGCTTTCTTCACAGATGAGAGAAAGATAATGAAAGGCTTTGCAAACTATAAATCTCTAAGCAGATGGAAGGAAAGGAATTGAAACAATAAATGAGAGTAGAAACCATAAAGAATCAAGGTAGGTTTAGATATCCATTCATTTACCCATTTAATATTTATTGAGTGTCTTGCATGTGCTAGGTACTGTGCTCAGGACTGGAGATTAGTGATGAAAAAGACACAGATGAGTTCCCCCAACTCCCGCTACGTCTTGCAGCCTGATGGGAGACATAAATTACACAAGTAAGCAAACAGTTAATACCCCTATAATAAGTGCTATAGAGAAAAGGAATAGGGCACTACGGCAGAAAGAACTAGGGGGAGCCGACTTGGTAAACCTTCCTGGGGGGAGGCTAAGTCTGGAAGGTAGAACGGGCTCAGACCAGTCGATAAAGTGGTACACGGGAAGGCCCAAAGCAAAAAGCAACTCATAGAAGGTGAGTGTGACACAAGCAGTGTGGGGAAGAGGATGCAGGCAAACAAGGGAGGAAAGTATAATCTATGAAAGAGGTTTGGCTTTGATTCTAAGTGCCAATGAAAACCACTGAAGGCTTTTAAGCAGGAGAATGATAGGATCTGATATTCTGCTTTAGAAAGATCATTTTTGCTCTTCAACTGTAAGGGTCAAGAATGGAAAGAGGAAGCTATTACAGAAGGCCAGGAGAGTGATAATAATGACTTAGAGTGGGGAACTAGCAGTAAAAGTAGTGGAGATTACATAGATTCAAGATATATTTTGTAGGTGTAACTGACAGGTTTTGTTGATAGAATCATTATAATAGGAAAGAAAAAAGGAGACTCCAAGATTTTTTATTTGAACAATGAGGAGGATAGTTCTGCTATTTACAGAAATGGGGAAGCTAGAACAAGTTCGTGAGGGAAATAAAAATAAACTGTTTTGGCATGTTGAATCTGACATCCAAATGAAACTATCAACAAAGCAATTGGCTGGACAACCAAAGTATGGGCTAGAGAAATATCAAAGTCATGACAGTGCAAATGCATGCTTCCAACTGTCCACTGGCCAAGACTGAGTGAAAAGTCATTGATCCATGTTGTGGCTATGCTGCCAAGCTTAGACATGCCCTGCATGACTGGCTGTGTAAGTGGTTTTCTTTTCAGTCCAGGATCAAGCCTTTTCCATTTCCTCCTAAATATCCCTGTCCAAGTTGCCAGCTTTATCATACACCATTGACCTGAAGGTAGGCCATATTTTTTAAGTAGATGAGGTGTTGCCCTGTTGGTGGAGAAGCAAATGCTGTAGCTTCTCCCTCTCTCCTTCCCTTCCTTTCTTCCTTCTTTCCTTCCTTCTTTTCTTCCTTCCTTTCTTCCTTTTTTCTCCCAAGACTATAAGAACACTCGGTTAAGAAGTGGTAAAAATGGCAACTAGTTGTAGAGGTCAAAGGTAAACTCTACTGAATACTCAGCTTAAAAACAGAGGCATGCAATACAGTTTTCAAACATGTTTCACCAGTTTAACCTGTTAAGACTACATGCTAGAGTGGTAAATAATTATCACTTTCTGCATTTTTCTATTTATAGGTGCTACCTGGTGATGGTCTGAATTCCTCTTTCTAATCTTATTTTATGATTGAGCTACAGAAAGTTGATTTGAATAGCAACACTTTATTGTTTCCCATTTTTACTCTTTTTCTGATCCAGGTGACATGGAACTCTTCTTTATCCGATACTTCTGAGGACTAAAATGACTGACTTTGTCCTTGAGAAAGATCTTGTGTGAGTCAGTCTGAGTTATAATCTAAGTTCAGCACGTACAAGCTCTGTGACCTTGAGCTTTTTGTATAATGTTTCTTGAACTTAGTTTTCCCATTTGTGAAATGGTGCTAAGTACCTTGTACCAAATAAATTAAACACACATAATCTTAGCACAATGCTTATCATGGTGTTAGGGACTTTTGGTGGTTATAACTAGATAGAATCTAAAGCACTGATTAGTCTTGGGGCTGCATATCCCAGGGTGTTAGGAGTTCTAGTGAGTAATACAAACTCATCAGGCTGACAGTCATCAGTGACTATTGGGAAAGTGGGTTGCTATGGTGATGGAAGTGATGCTGACATGGGAGGGCATAGGAAAGAGGTTGTGATATTCAGAAGAGTCTAAACTGTATAAAGTTTTTGAAAAATTTATCCAATGAACTAAACTTGAAAGACTGTCTTCCCTCAAGAAGGCACTAGACATCTTGAAACCAGTATTGTTGGATTCCTGCAAGTCAGATTGATGTCTAAGTTTATCATGTTACACCAGTGCCCACAGAGAAGGAAAAAGAAAAGAGTCTTAATACTAGTAAAATGTCAAAAGAAAAGATAGACAAGAAAAAAGCTCCTTGTAAACTCTAGTATCTTGCTCTTAGAGATAGCCACTTCATGAGTCTTTTTTAGTAATTTTGAAATACACAATACATTATTGTTAACTATGGTCACCTTGATGTGCAAGAGAACTCCAGAATGTATTCCTCCTGTTTTACCAAAATTTTGTGCTGTTTGATCAATGTCCCCACTTACCCCACCAACTATTTGGATTTTTAATCATGCCTTACTTTTGTCTAATTATTTTCCATTCATAATGCCATTTTATTCATGTGATCCTTATCCATTTTACAAACACTTAATGAGCGCCTATCTTATACCTGACTCTATGCCTTACCACAGCTCTGTTCTGGCAGGTTGGGTAAACTGAGTCTCAGGGAAGTGTCCTGATTTGCTTATCAGTGTCAGGCCTGTTCAGTGCTATTGTTTTTTTGTTTTTTTAATCCTTAGTGCTATGTCTGTTGCCTTTGGGACTAGGAGAAATGGAATATAGTAGACCTCTGTAATTCAAAGTCATCGTTTGTGTTTTTGATGATTTATGAACAAACCAAAGTTCCTTGGCTTACAGTGTGTGTGTATATATTTTAGTTTTGCTGAAGCACACATCTGAATTGCTGTAACAGTGTGTGGGAGTGTGTGTATGGCACATCTGCTGTTTTTGCCTGCCTGGCATCTATTCTCCATTCTTCGGTTATAATAGCTCTTTGGTTTTGCTTTGGGAGACTGTGTCTCACTCATTAGCTACTGCCTCAATAGTGAGATTTTTCCCTCAAGGAACCGAGCCTTCTGCTGAGACGAGTCTTGCTGTGTGACCTCAGTTTAGTCAGACTCTCTTGCCAAAGAATTTGAATCTTGATAAGAAATTGATGGACTGAAAATGGTTGGGGAAGATCCACCCCTTCCATGACATCCTGAAAATACTGTCTATTCATTCAGTATAAACAGAGGTCGCCACACTTTTTCTGTAAAAGGCCAGATAGTGAATATTTTAGGCGTTGTGAGCCATAAATCCCTGCCTCAACTATTTGACTCTGCTACTGTAAAAGGAGAACAGTCATCAACAATGTGCAAACAAGTGCGTAAGCCTATGTTCCAAGGAAACTTTATTTATAAAATCGCATAGCAGACTAGATTTAGATTTACCCTTGGATCATAGTCTGAAAGCCTAGAGGCTCAGAGCTACTCCGGTTCCTACTTTTTCCATAATCTAGTTTTTCAACTCTCACCTTCTATTCTGTGAGCTCCCCATTTATCTTTTCAAGCAAATTCATTTTTTTTCTGTCTAATCATGTCAGAATTAATTCTATTGCTTGCAACCAAAGAACTCAAGTGATGTAGAATGAGCCTCTTGGCTAATGAGTGAATCTCTCTGAATGCCTCCACATACCAATGAAGCTTCCTCTTTATGCCTTTTACTAGCATGTAGGATAACAATTGGGAAGCAATTGATACAACAGTGTCTTAGGGGAAAAAAATGACTAGGCCTGGTAATATGAACACTGAGGAAGCAGTAATTCTATATAAAAAAAAGTGGTGCTAAGATAATTGTTTTGCATATGTTAAAAAACAGATAGTTGAATTTGACAGTGGCTCGATTCTATCATTTGAATTAGTCCTTTATAATAAAATAATAAAATGGTGGGTTTATATAACAGTTTTAGTCCAAGAGAGATTTTTTTAAGTGATTGAGACAGACTTTAAATTTTTTTTATTAGTTTTAAAAATGTTAACAAAAGGTTTACTTACAGTTTAAGTTAATCCTATGAAAGTTGAACTTTCCATGTTTGCAAGATTATAAGTTGTACCGACCTTTTCCTATTGTGAACCTGTGGTTATGTGAGGGACTCGGAGTCGATTCTTCCCGAGTGACAAGATTTTAATTTTATCAACAATGCTTGTCCTTTCTGTCTCCCACTGTTCTAACAGAAAGTAAATATTGCTGAGCATGCTATTTAGATCAAGCAGATAAAATTATCAAGTCTTTTCACAGGCTGGTACTGGAGAAAATACAAAAGGAGCACTGTCCCTGCCCTTAAATAATTGTCCAACTAGCCAAGATGAAGATATTATCCATCCAGGAAAACTTGAGTAGTCAAAAATGGTCAGTCGAATTCCATAAAGAATAAGTGGGTCACTCAAGGGTTCTCTGATAGTGCTCAACACAGGGACACAATAAAACTAGACTTGTCTCAAGCTGTATCAGAATCCTTGCATTATAGACATAAAAAAGATCTTTAGAGTTCAGTTCCTTCATTTCATACTAGAAACACTTGGGTCCAGGGAGGCTAAGTAACTTTGTCTAAGGTCCAGTCTCTTGATAGGGGTGTTCCTGGGGCTAGAAGCTAGTGTCCCTAAATCCATTTCTCTAGTCCTTACATCTGGGTGCAGAATAACTGTTTTTAGGAAGTACATGAACCTAAAACTGAATCACACAGTGACAGCATTGTTCTGATTCTACAAAGAAAGTCTCAGTTTAGTGCTAGACTGCCTTGAACCCATTATTAAATTTAAGTTTACTGGGTTATTGGCCTAATAAGAATGCTAGTAGGTATTGGTTAGAATACATCTACTATTTCACATTTTAAAAATAATCAGTAACAGCCTGTAATCCCACCACTTAGGGAAGCCGAGGCGAGTGGATTGCCTGAGCCCATGGGTTCGAGAGCAACCCAAGCAACTTGGTGAGACCTCATCTCTACAACAAAATAAAAAATGAGCCGGGCATGGTAGTGTGTGCCTGTAGTTCCAGCTACTTGGAAGGCTGAAGCGGAAGGATCGCCAGAGCCCTCGACACTGCGGTGGCCATGAGCGTGCCACTGCAATCCAGCCTGGGTGACGGAGTAAGACTCTAGCGCAAAAAATAAAAATAAAAAATAAAAAATAAGTACTTTTTAAAAGAATTTTCTTTTATTTCAACTTGGAGCCTAGATTACTATGCCAAATATATTATTTTCATAATGCAATAAAATATAATTTAGAATAATTAAAAAATAAAAATTCCCTTTGAGTAAAGAGAATGCAGGTCTCAGGCTCAAGGACTTCAGTGGGCAAGTGGCTGGATTTTCATAACATTTCTTAGTTTTGCCATATTTACTTTTAACAATTAGGTTTTTCATGTATAGCCATGATATGAAGTTTCCCTTTTAAATGAATGTATCTAAGTTAAAAAGATAAATTAAAAAACAATATTAAACAAAAAGTAACACTGTACACAATACTTTTCTGAGTGACTTGAATATATAAACTTAATTAACTTCAAAATAATCCTATAAAATGGGCACTATTTTCATTTTACAGATAAGGTAAACACTGCAAAATTAAGTAATTTTTCGAAAGTCATATAGCTAGAAGAGGTGAAACCGTTTCAGACAAAAGCAATCTGGTTCCACATGGTGTTCTTGAACACAAGTCTCTGTGTATGAGATACTCTGCTAGGTGTTTTATGAACACTGTATTTGACTGCTGCAGCAATACTGCAAAGTAGGTGTTATGTTCTTAATTTTCAGAGAAGAACCTGAGATTAATTTGTCCAAGAACACCATAATATTAAGTTGCAATACAGAAATTCAAACCAATCTCTAGCTGGTCCCAATGCCTATGTTCCTTGCCACCTTCCAAATCTAAGACCCCTGTCTCCTTCAGTGCTGTGCTCCAACTTAATGAGCATTTTCTATACCTCTACCTTCATGTCTGTAGTCAGAAATGAGCTGAATATGCTTGCTTAGCGAAATGTATTCTATTCCAGTTAAGTAACTCAGTCCCTTAAGATTCCTCATAGCCAAATTAACCAGTATCTGGAATGGAAGTCAGATAACAAACCCCAGTGCACTAGATTGAAAATTAAAACCTAACTGAGCTGGTGGTTGGAAAAATAATGTGAGACCCAGAAAATAAACAGCAGATTTGGGACAGAAAATCATGGCATTAAATAATTGAAGCCAGTGAAAGTGGAACGTGGGGCCAAGTCTACATAGCTATTTATGAAACTGAGAAATGGAATATTGATGTTCTGTACCAGTACTAAAAGCTTTCTGGTTAATTACATTCCTGGGTGAAGTCAGAAAAAAATATAATACTTACAGTTTTCAGAGAACAAAATAATTTCAGTCATTCACTGGGAAATTGGCTAACTCTCTAATTCACCATTCGGTAAAATCTGAAGGAGCAGTCTGTTGACAATGAAATACTGAAATGTGTGGTCCTGATATATCCTACTTTTATTCCAAATTTATTGAGCACTTGCTACGTACCAGGCAAAGATGTCTCAGAGCTCATAGTTGGGTGAACAAAAACAGAAATTATTTTAAAACTATATACCATATAAAAATTACCAGAATTACATCCCATTCCTTTTTCCATCAGTCACTATCTTACACAGCATAATTTTTTCACAACATTCATCAGTACTGAAAATTATATATATATACATGCACACACACATATTTAGATTTTATTTGCTACTGTCTATCTTTTTTTTTTTTTTTTTTTTTTTTTTGAGTTGGAGTCTCACTCCGTTGCCCAGACTGGAGTGCAGTGGCCACTCCCGGCCACTGCAGCCTTGACCTGCTGGGTCCGGCGATCCTTCCGCCTCAGCCTTCCAAGTACCTGGAACTACAGGCGTGCGCTACGATGCCTGGCTAATTTTTTTGATTTATTGTAGAGATGAGTTCTCGCCAAGTTGCCCGGGCAGGTCTCGAACCCACGGGCTCAGGCAATCCACTCACCTCGGCCTCCCAAAGTGCTAGGATTACAATGTCTGTCTCTTAAAATAGAATATATGGTAGAATGATTTGAGTTCTTCTGGGTATATTCCCAATAGGGGGATTGCTGGGTCATACAAAAGGTCAATTTCTATACCTAACCCTGAATTGTACCCCACATCTTCAAAATAAAAAATTTTAAAAGTTAAAAAAAAAATAGAATATAAATGCCAGTGAGGCAAAGATTTGTGCTTATTGTTTCCAGTACTGAGAGAGGTGCCTGACATATGATAGGTAACAGAGCCAAACACAATAAAGGCAATAGGGGATGAAGTGAGCAGATTTGTCCAGGATGGGCTGGGGAATGAACCACAGGGGGCACTTAGAAAGCACACACATTTGTGAAGGAGTAAGGTAAAAGCATTGCATGCAAAGGGAAAGGCAGAAGGAGATGGAGGGGTGCATGAAAGCACATGATGTGTTTAGGCAGTGATGACGCAAGGGATGAGTAAGGGGAGTGACGGTAAACAATATATAGCATGGCAAGGTGATGCCGTGTATGGTATACAACTAGGATATGGTATATCAGTCCCATTCATCCACTCCTCCTTGACCAGACCCCACTTACTTCCCCCACTCGCATCTCATTTTCCAAGGCATTTTCTTGAGAAAGCCTCAGCACCATTGGCTGGGTTCTAGTATCTCAGTTAAGCCTGCTGTTCTCTTTGGCAATCTCAGTTCTGTTTCTTTCAAATGTGGATACTCTAATTTGCTCTACCAATCATATGGTTACAACAAAAGAATCTTTAGTTGACTCTCCCAGTTGCAGAGCTGAGTTAAATTGCCTTTGATGGTGAAGGTTTTATTAATCTGAGATAATTACTCAGTGTTTGAATGGCTATGGAGAGGCTTAGGTAGTCTCCAAATATGTCAAAATCCTCTCCAAATATGTCAAAATCCATCATGTGTCACTGTTTGGCTTGTACTCTTTTTCTTTTTTCTTTTAAACTAGCACTGCTTTTTGAATGAGTGTCAAGCTATTTATAGTTAAAACTTTTACTTGCAGTTAACAGAAAACTACAAAAGCTCAAATAATAAGAGGGAGAATTATTGGAAGAACACTGTGTTATCCATAGAATCCCAAAACAGCTGGGCCTCTCAAATGACTTGAAAGAGAAATTTGAATCTTAGGCAGTTTTTAATCTCTCTGTCTCACTCTCTGTTCTTTTCTACTCTGTCTCCACCACCTCCCCCTAGTCCTGTCTGAATCTTTGCCTTTGGCTCTGTCTGCTGTCCCTCTGTGTTTGTTCCTTTCCTGTCCCCTTAACTGTCAGTTTCTTCTTTGGTTGGACCACTCTCTATTTTTCTCACTCTCTTTATTATCCTTTCTCTCTCTCTCATTATTCTTCTTTCAACTGGCTTTATTTTCTTTTGCATATTCACGATGAAGCCTTCCTCACAAAGCTCCAGATTCTATTTCCGCCTTTTAAGAGACCAGCTCATATGACTGGCTAATTCCCTAAGTCTCTCAGATTTAAACATTCATAGAAAGGGGATCTAATTAGTCCAGCTTGAGCTAGGTATCATCCCTGGTTCAGTCAGGTGTGAGTGCAGTGAAAGAGTCACATGATGCAAATATGCCTGGAGAGTGGGGGTGGCCACAGTCCTATGGGGTATGAGGAGAAGTATTTCTCAGAGAAGAGCTATCTCTGTGATCTTGACACATAAGCCAAAACGTGTCTGCTTCCTCCAATCACAGAATGTGGATGACTATTAAAGCATGAATTAATATTCTTAAAGTGATGCTGGTAGATCAAGGATGCTTGTGAGAGGTATTATACAGAAATTCAGCACTTCCTGTGGAATGATTCTTCCTCGGGAAAGTTGATGAGCCTTTTTTAAAAGTCAGGCCATTTTATATACTTAGTGTTCAAGTTTCTGGGTCAACAGCCTTCTGACACCACCAAAGACCAGAGAAGCAGATTGTGCTAACTGATGTCATTTTGAGAGAAGCAAAGGTACCCACCTATTAGCTGACAGGCAGAGAGATGTTCCTAGCTGGCAGGGGATCTTTGTTGTATCTTCTTTGCAAAGTGGTTTCTTTCCTGTCCTCACCTTGCTCATCTGTAAAATGAAAGGGTTAGATATGACAGTCTAATTTCGCTTTAGCTCTGAACATGCTGTGATTCCCGGTGGAGGCAAAAGAGGTCTCTCAAACTCAGGGCTGCATTGGGAAGGAGTTGCCTGAATAATCACAGATCACATAAACACTGATGCTTGCTAGGCCCTCTGAATCCTCCTCCAAACCATTTCAGCTGAACTCAGGATCCTATTTTTATTTTCTAGGTAGTCTGAAATTAGATTTGCCGACTTTGCAGCTCCTGTCAGATGTCTGCTCCTCTGAGGAGAGGTTTTTCCGACTTTTAGCAAAGGATCTTCAGCTCCCAGGGACTGTGGTTACCTCTTTCATCTCTCAAGGCAGAACTCTGAAAGCACTTGGGTCTCTGAGAGGGGCTCCTGGTACCTCCTCCCCAGCTGTCAACTGTGGAGGTGCTGCAGCAAAGTACAGTGCTGTGTACAGCTTTCTCCTTTAAGAGGTTGTTGGCTTGAGAATCTCAGTGTGGTGAGGGGGAGCTTGTGTAAGTGGTTTTAGCTGGAAATGACCAAATTTTCTAAGTGTTGTTGTGATTATACTTAAACTCATCTGGGCATTTGGTGGAGGATGTAAAAATAAGCATGGGAAGGAAATGAAGATGCTGTCAGTGAGAACACATCTTTAATTTGTGTCCCTCCCTTGAAATGGTTTCTTCATTCACTCAACAAACATCCATTGAGTACCTTGTTGTTCTAAACACTCCGCCAGATGCTAGAGAAGTGGGAATGTAAACATGAGGCTATCTTCCTGAAAGGAAAGACAGGCAGGAAAACACATATACTTTAGTCTGGAGTGGGGTCAGGGATGTCTGCATCCTCTCATGATCTCCTTCTTTTACTTTTTCTTTCTATTGACCCTGCTCTTGGATCCCAAATTGTACCTGTATGGGAGGAGAATAGTGGGGGTAATGGTAGTAGAGTGATGATAGACATTTCTAAATTTAGAGTGCAGGGAGTATTATTTAAGCTGGATTAAGACAGTGGTAGAAAAGCAGAAAAGAGGAAAGGCATTCCAGGTGAAAGAACTAGCACGAAGTATAGAACTTCAAGACACTTGGAGAGGACCTGGAGGAGGAGAAGTCCTGTGGAGAGCCCCAAGACACCAGATGTATGATGAAGGAGGTATCTT